GGCAGAGGCGAAGGTATAAGTTCTGCTAATATTAATTCATTAACTTTCTTTTATGGCTGTAATTGACTTTTATGTGCTTTGCACATGTTTCAATCAAACTTCAAGCACACCAAAAGCCACAAGCCAGCCAGTAAATTAAGCCCCTAATACCCATCAGGCCACACGTATTAGGAGGCCTCAGCGCACCGCACAGAGGCTCCCAGCCGTTGCATGTCAAATTAGCCACGCTTAATAAATGTTTATTATATGTAGTTGCATGCGTACGAGGAGAGACTTGACTCGAAAGTACTTTGATATTTTTGATAGAGGAATTCACGACTTTAAAATATTTATATCAGTGGCATGGGCAACTAATTAGCTAGTATCGTATTAAGGTATTTTTACAGATTGCTGCTGCGTGTCATCTTTAATGTGCAACAAGCACACATATTCATAAAAGACAAAACCGCAACCGCAACGAACAACAAAAACCACAGCGCAGCCACTGTGGGGCTGTGTTTGCTTCAACCGCGCAGCCCACATCGATCGCTCACTCCATTGCGTGCTCCTTGCCAGGATAAACTTTGAAATGAATCCAACCCCAAATCAATTGAAAGCTCTGCTATGTGTGTGTGTGTGTGTGTGTGTGTGTGCTGGGCTGTGCAATAAAACTATTTGATCAAATTGAAAAACTAAAACAAGGCACAGATATTTTGCCGCTATTGAAAAGCTGCCAAGTTTTTTGTTGTTTGGCACATATACGAATCCATTGCTGTTGTTGTTGTTGTAGTTTCTTTTATTGTTGTTTACATTGCGTGCTACATTTGGCACGCTGCTGCTGTTGCGAGTTTGTTTAGCGACACGTTTGCTGATTTTCTATTATTGTCAATTCCTATTCCCTTTTCGCTTTTCGCATTTCATCGAGAGTTCATTAAACTCCTCTGCCGCGCGCAATCCAATAAAATATATTTGCAATTAATTAAAATAGCATTTGCTTTTCAATTAAACTAACTAACTAACGGTTCTGTTCATTTTCTTTTTCCCACTTTTTTCTGTGCCAAGCAAATATTATGATTTCAGGCAATTCGCAGCTGCCAGCAAACGCTGCGCTGCCCTGCTCTGCTCTGTGTAGTGTCTGTTGTCTGTTGTCTGCATAATTTATGGAATGTCTTTTGTGCCGCAACGTGGTGCCAGCGTGGTGCGAGGGTCGGGCGAAGATTGAGGGCTACGCAAATGTTGCACACGATGTTTGCTACGCCCTTTTACGACTCTTATTTAATGCATGCAAAGTCCCACGCTGCGTATGCGCAATATCTACATTGAAAGCATGCGAAATTTCACACTTTAAGGTTTTGCTATGAATTTTGGCTGAGAATAGGACAGAAA